GCCATAGTGTGCATTGCTCCATTGCTTCACATGTACTGCTAAAACGCGCGAGAAAATGACGCGGCGAGCTCGCGAAAATAACTCGCTCGTGTGCATCGAGCCTTAGTCGACACGAGCTGCAGCACGTGAGTTGCAAATGCCGCATTCAACAGCGCATCTGGTGTTACGAAAACGTTTGCGTCTATATGCTTGCAAGTTGCAGGTGGTGCAGGAAAATACGCAAGATGATAGGGTAGCCCGTAAGGAATTTTCATAAAGGATTTATTCATGAGTAAAGTTGTAAAGATAATTTATATACACTGTGTTATGCATGATTTTGAATCATAAAGAAATTACCATATGAAATGGAATTTTGTCTCTCATAAGATTTGTTGAATGGCCTAGAGCAAAATACGTTAGCACTCTTCGCGTAATCTCGTAATGGCAAATAAACATAATTAAGTGAATGTGTTCGTTGGGCACTCGGGTATAATCGAAATAAATAGTATAAAAGAAAATTTGACGAAAGTGTCCGTTCTTCGTTCGAATTTTCTATTTTCTTACATTAATTCCACTGAAATTATGCCTGTCTGTTTGTGATAACAGTCTTGTGCATGTAATTTCTGGTGACCAATGTTGTGATATTTACTGCATTGACGCCATATAGTAGTTCCTTTAAAGGTTCCAAGCTGAATATATGTCACTTCTGGACAATAAAAGCCTGTTATGATAATCTAGTAGCCAGACCAGAGACGGAGAAAGGGAGAAAATGGGCGAAATTACTTATAAATCTATGTAATTAATATATAATGGAGCAAGATAATTACCGGGTGAGATTAAGGTTTTCACGGCGCCCACTGTGAAGATGGCTGTCATCAGGGATACAAAACAATGTAATAATCGACGTTTCGTAAGAGTTTATTGCCTCCATGTAGTCCCTTTTTCTTTCTTTTTCCTCCCATCTCTATTTTTTGTTTCTTTCCCTCCGCCCTTCCAAGCTCTCCTTCGCTGTCTCTCCATGACTTTTATTCGTTCCTCCTTCGTTGCAACTGTGGGACTCTTGGGCCAGAGTCCGACATAGACCGTGAAAGAGTTGGAACTGCCCGCAGCGCTCATAACGTCAGTGTTCACGGCAGTTTCTTGAAACTGGCGCATCAACTGCCCTATTGCCGCTTTCATCCCACATTGAATTGAAGTTCAATTCTTTAGAGTTTCTGTCGATATGTGTTTGGAGAAGTTCTGCTTTGGTAAAGTGGGGTCGAATAAAAATGATGAGCAGAAAACAGCTGGAGAAAGCAGAACAGACCTATAGGCCTACACAACAAACATGTCACGTCCAAAGAGACGCATGACGTTGTTGAGTATTTTTTTGTTTGTGTATGAATTAAAACCTGTTACCTCCCAAGTGAGAAGCAGGGCATTTATAAATTTCAACCTGATTCGTCGACACTGCTTATTTAACGACTGTTTGCAAAGTACTTGACTTATATACGACATGGATCGATGAACTGAGCCTGTTTCAAATTGCTGTCTCAGCAGACACTGAAGACAAACATGGAGTAACGCGTGCATTAGTCGATACTACAAATTCCCGAACAGAAAGTGATAACCATGCGCGGTTGGTGAATTAACCGCTGCGGTGCTGTTCTGGTCCTCTTTTTCCTATACGAGGTGCGATCGGAAAGTTTCAAGACTGTGTCAATAGAGGGCGAACCGGATGTAGTACGAGCTTCTGCCGCTAGGGGGTGCGGCCTACATTCATAGTGAATCAGTGTGCCAGCCGGCATCATCGAATTAGCATTTGTTTCTTAGTTACGGGCGTTGTGGTAGTGCATTACACCG